GCTATAGCTCCCACATACATGTTTCATCCGATTTGGTGTTTAAGTCCGATACATGCGTAATGTGCACTTCACATAAAAAATATTTGGTACCAAATAACTTATGGAGCTCAAAACCACCTCTGAAAAATTTTATGGAGATCGGTTCAGATTAGGATATAGTTCCCATATATATCTTTATCCGATATCTGGTTTATTGTGCAGCAAATGTCTAATATCAGACCAAATGGAATGAATTTTGGCAATTCCGACTGAATTCGTCCTAGAAACAAGTTCTCAAATATGGTGAAAATCGGTTCAGATAAAGCTATAGCTCCCATACATATGTTTCATCCGACTTGGTGTCTAAGTGTCTCATATGCGTAATATGCACTCCACAAGAATAATCTTTAATACCAGATATCAGATACAGCTCAGAAGTAAATGTCCAAAATTTTGTCAAGATCGGTTCAGATGTGGATATAGCTCCCATATATATCTTCAATCGATTTTGGGTTAATTGGTGCACCAAATGGCAAATATCTGTCCAAATGACCTGTATTTTGGCACATCCGAACAAATTCAGTCTAGAAGCAAGTACATCAAAGTTGATGAAAGTCGGTTCAGATATAGCTATGGCCCCATATATATTTTTCATCCGATTTGGAATTTTAAGCGTAATATGCACGCGTAATATGCACTCCACAACCATGATCCTTGGAACCTAATATCAGATACAGCTCAGAAATAATTCTGTCAAATTTTTTCGAGATCGGTTCAGATTTTTATATAACTTCGATACACATCATCGCCTCCGTCAAATTTGTTGAAAATCGATTCAGAGTTGGATATAGTTCCTATATTGTTACTACTCTATAAGGTTCATGGTACAATGATATCAAGGTAGGGCTACGATACCATATGATTTTATTTTTTTTTTTATTTTCTTGGATTAATATGTCATCTTTATTTGTTTATGTATGTGTTTTCTTTTCAATAACAAAAAAATTGTTCAGAAAACATTCAAATTCGGGTGTTTTCAAAATGTTTATTTCAACTCAAATTTAGAGTTTTTGTAGTGAAATAATAATAGTACATGATTTTGAAAAGAAGTGTTGACCTTTAATTCAGTTATCGCGGTTTTCAATTATTTGTTCAAAATAAATGCAACAATTTGTTTAATTTTTTATTTTTTTGATACAAATTCTGACATTACAAGCCAAACAGATAGACCTCTATACTTGCAATTTTTTCAAAGTTGGCCTACCTTCTCTTCATTGTACCATGGTTGGTATGACCTACTTCACATAAATTGCCAATATAAACTTTTTTTGTTGAGGTCTACTAAATACACATAGTGATGTACGGTATCATATATTCGGCCCCGCCCGACTTTTGACCTTTCCTTATTGGTCTTGAATTGAATCTATGAGAATGTTAATCCTTCGCAAATTTCTTAGACATTAAAGTAGTTTGAGATGGATTGGAGACGGTTTTTACACTTCATAAAATAGCCGTACGCCTAAGGAGAAGCGTTGATAAAGCTTCTATGTTGTTTGTATGAAATGATGTAATTAACCATTTCAGTTCCCTGCCGACACAAAAATATTTATTTATAGGTCTACGTTTTTTGGCAATAATCATCAATGCGTCACACACATCTGTCACTTTCGTATAGCAACACACCCAACCCCAATAGCTTTTCACCCTCGTAAAAGCATTGCAACATTTCAAGTGTTAAAATCATCAAAAAATGTTTGGTATGTAAACAATTTCGAAGATCCCACCTAAGATCAACCAACGACAACAAATTTCGATATTTTGTTTTGTTTGTTTTAAAGATAAAACTAAATAAAAGTTTGGCATTCCGAGACACTGATCCGTGATTATGCATTAAAAAGCCGAACGAGGCTGCTCCAGCCAAGCTAGCCAAGCGTTCGTTTTCAATGATCCGTTTCAGATACATGTATTGAGGCGCACATGCGTATCTTCATAGAGCTGACTAATAAAAGTTTGTGTGCCTTGTATTATGTAATTCAATACGCACAAAGTGAAGATAAGACCACTGAATTTATATTGAATTAATAAAATATTTTAACTTGAGTTTTTTTTCGTTTTTTTTTTTTAATTATCAACTGACATCTTAACTGATGTATTACTCATTTAGCCATATACCAATTGGTTAGCCAAGGTATGTTGATGGTGTTAATTGAATTCAACCTACATTTTTATATTAAGTATATTTTATAGAAATTTTAACAAGGCCGACCGGTAGTAAAATCTTGCTAACTATTATTTTCGTATTTCTTGTTCCAAATTCCATGATCGAAAATGTTTTTGCGAAAACTTGGGATAGCAATGATCAAATGCAAAATTGAATTAAAACACTTACTCCAATGGACAATGCGGAGCGCTTTTTCCAGAAAATGTAAAACATCATGTTAAAAGGCATCAGTCGATTTTATCGACAGATATGTACTATTAGCTTATGTCTGATAATAAAATATATTTTAACTTGATTATTCAAAATGTTTAACCTTTATGGGGATGGTACTGAGGCAGTGGGCCAATATATTCTATTTCTGATCTAAATCTGATATAATTATTGCGATGTGCAAGGTTTGGACTATATCGGTTTGTTTTTTATTTTTTTTTTTTTTTGGAAAATTTTGTACTTTTTTGGAGGAGGTAGGAGAACGAGTGGATGTGCTAAATAAGATAACAAAAAATAAAACAAAATATTTAGATGTGCAATTATTACTTATTTCCAGTTTTGTGGGATTAACTGGTAATCAGTATTTCTTATATTTTGTGGGAGAGGTACCAGAAGGGGTGGACCGACATATTTCATATTTACATTACATCTGTGACTTACAGAAATAATATAACTTTACCCTCTACCACGTACCAGGAAAAATGGGCCGATGAGTTCCATATTCACATTAGAACTAATGTTGATGAAGGTATTGCATTGTGGGATGTTAGAAGAAAATTGAACTAAGTATTTTTAATTTTATGACACTTGACTTCTTTAAAATGTTGACCCCTTGTGGGGGAGGTATCAAAAGGAGAAGGTCGATATTCACATTAGATCTCGTTTGCGATATACTTAGTTCAAAGAGAATCGCTGACCTTTTTCGCTTGTTATAAGGGTTATAAATAACCAAATTGTTAATCATTCGTGGGGGAGGAAGGAGTGGTCCGAAAATTGTCCATGTTCACACCAGATCTCGTGTTGATAAATAAATTGAGATGTACTAACTTCCAAGATAACCGGACTTATATCATTCATATTTTATAAAAGTTTTTATCATTCTAAAATTGTACCCTTTGTGGGGAATATAATTGATGAAGTATAGGGGGGATGAAAAAACTGTAACCAACTTCAGACTGCTGTCATTTCACTCGTCCGACAGCTGTTAACATTTTTCCAGAAAAAAAAGTCATTCGTGATGGAATTAAAGCGTGATAGTGTAATTTCTTTATATTTGGCTGGAAAACCACAAGTGGCTATCCCAGCATTTAAATGTCAATAAGTCTTTTGTGTCTCGTAACATCGCTCGTTACCGTGAAACTGGTAGCGTAGCCCGACATCAAGGAAGTGGATGGAAGAAAACAACAACATCAGCAGAAATGTTTCGAAAAGTATAGAAGCGACTTGATCGAAACCCGCGTCGCAGTGGCCGAAAAATGGATCGTGAGCTGAACATATCGCAATATTCCATTCGACAAATATTGAAAAATCAGCTCGTGGTAGAGCCAAAGTGAAAGAACTTACACTGCAGCAGAAAGAAAATAGACTCAAAAGTTGCTTCGCTTGGCCGAATTTGGATTTCTCCGACGAGAAAACATTCGTTGTCCAGCAGTTTGTAAACAAACAAAATGTTCGTATTTACTTGCCAAAGAGGTCAGCTGAAAATGTGCACCTTCGGTTGGCCACCAGAACTCAAGCGCCGGCCATGGTGATGGTGTGGGCCGCCATAACAGCCGATGGTCGCTCTCCGCTCGTATTAATCGACGGTGGCATCAGAATAAATGCCGATTATTATCGCGAAAATATTCTGGTGGGTGTATTAAAGTCTTGGGCACGCAAAACATTTTACCGCAGACCTTGGACATTCCAACAGGACTCAGCACGCGCCACCCAAGAATAGTTATTAAATGAGATTCCTCGCTTCATTTCCAGCGCTCAATGACCAACAAAATCTCCGGATACCATTCCGGATACCATTTTGGAAAAGCAAGGTTGGCACTAAAAAATACCAAAGTGTCGATCACCTCAAGCAAGCGCTTCGCAGGGAATGGGCCAAAATACCGCGGAACAACATTCGGGCAGCGTGTGACGGTTTCATGTAAAATGTAAAAATTATGGCGTTTGACTTTGTTGCAGTTTTTTATCTCACCTTGCGCACCACTTTTTGGTACCTCAACCACAAAGGGTCACAATTTTCAATACTTTTATCTGTCATAACTTGCGAAACAAGTCAGCGATTCTTTTCAGCTTGTTATATCTAAATATTTCCCTCAACCAGAAATCTGATATGAATATGGAATTGATCGGAATTAATGATTTCCCATTAAATTGGATATGAATGTTAGTTTCTTGTATTTTTGCACATACCAATATTTTTATCTGTACTAGATGAAGTATGAAAATGAAATACCTCGGTCGTCTATATCTGGTACCTCACGCACATCTTAACATTTTCTACAAATTATCATATGTCTCATATAAAGTGAAGGAAGTCAAAACGTGGACTGCCGATATGAAATGGACAATATTGTTCGATTCCTCCAGAACCTACTCCATAGAGGATCAACAATTTGAATAATCATAACAGTAGTCAAATATTTAAATAATCGAACATTGGCTGAGGGTATACATGATACCTTTTATCTTGTTTTCATTAACTTTTGATATCTTCTTCAACGTTTTACTTTTCAATTTGAACATTTTCATTATATTTTTTTTACCAAATATTGAATTAAGGCCCAAAATTATTTCTCTCTTCTTCTCATTACAGGTTCTTCATCAACGGCCCTAGTCGTTCCCAATGAATTGCCTTCCATACTTTCACTTGTGTACTCCAATATACCGCCCATCAAAAAAGGTTATCATTCAAAACAAATCTCAAACCCCACACACTGGGCAAACAAGTCTGATATCCCTAATCTTCTCTCATTACAGGTACCGATTCACGACTTGGCTTTGGCTTTCGACTTGGTAATCATGCAGATTTTCAAGTTATGGTTGAATTGGGTCCCCAAAAGGAAACTCGGCCCATTGGTGATCAGGACAGTGGATCATCCTTCAATAAAAGACAGGTGAATAGACAACAACAACGGGCTGTGCAAAGAGACGCCATAAGAGCGGAACAGAAACCACACAGAGAAGTAGCCAAGCCGGAAGCCACACCATCAGCAACAAATTCTTGGCTAGAAAAATGGGCAAGTCAGGTGAATGATGCCACAACGGCAAAGAAGAAAGTGGCGCCCAAGCCAAAGCCATACAAAAAACAAGTTACACCTAAACCAGCACAAATTGTACCTGTGATGCCTCAACAAATGCAAGCAATTCAGCAGCTGCAAATGCTATATAAAATGGCCACCACGACAACAAATGAAAATTTGGCCTCAACCACTACTACTACTACGACCACAGTGGCACCCGATGCAGCAGATCGTGCTATGCAAAATATTCAGCAACGATTACAACTCTACAAGCCTCCCGCTGACTTAGAAGAATTACAAGTTTTAATGCAAAAATCCCAGGCTCAAAGCAAGGCGGAAATCACCAAGGAACTGATGGATGTCAATTTGGATGAGTGATACCGCAAATGAGAATTTTTAGTTATATTGGTGACATTGTACCTACATATCAATTACATATCCTTTGTATCATATCATATGCTCTCTTTTTTTTGTAAATAAATTGTTGGTAGACATAAGATCTAAAACATGTTTTAGAAAAATTTAATGCGTCTAAAAAATTAATATGATTATGAAATAATCAAGGTAGGACATGTATACCCTTCAATTAATATCCTTCCATCGTAATAATGAACTTAGATGGAAATATACTTGTTAAGAATTAAAAAAGTAAAAAAGCAGCTAAGTTCGGCCGGGTCGAACTTTTAATACCCTCCACCATTTGGAAGGAACTTGAAAATTTAAAAAAAAAACTTCCGGAAACTGCCACATAAATGAAAACTTTTATATGAATACTATACGAAGACGTGGACATGCTTACGAAATTTTTTATCAGAGGCTGTTGTACCAATTACGAACTTCAAATATCAATTTGAAATAATTCCGGTGAATAATGTCGCACAAATCATAAAAATACCGATTATTGGGAGGTACCGTCATATGGGGGTTATACGAAGACGTGGACCTGAATACAAAAATTTTTGTCATAGGCTGTAGCACCCATTACGGACTTCAAATACCAAATTTGAAACAATTCCAGTGAATAATGTCGCTAAAATCATCAAAATACCGAATATGGGGGCTATACGAAGACGTTGACCTGCACAGACAATCTCCTGTCGTAGGCTGTAGCATGCATTATGAACATCAAACACCAAATTTGAAACAATTCCGGTGAATAGTGTAGCTAAAATCATCAAAATACCGAATATCGGGAGGTACCGTTATATGGGGGCTATACCAAGACGTGGGCCTGCACAGACAATCTCCTGTCATAGGCTGTAGCATCCATTACGAACATCAAATATCAAATTTGAAATAATTCCGGTGAATAATGTCGCTAAAATCATCAAAATACCGAATATCGGGAGCTACTATACGAAGATGTGGACCTGCATAGACAACTTTCTGTCATAGGAATTTGAAAGAAATCCGTTGAATAATGTCGCTAAAGTCAACAAAGAACATGGTCCATTTTCAATACCAAAAGTCCTGCAGACATTATATACATTTGAGTAAAATTTTATCAATCTACTTCAATTTGTTCGGAAGCTAGAGTGATTTCCACAGACGGGCGGACATCGCTAAATTTACATAGAATTTTATAGAATATTTATACTTTGTGGGATCTAAAATATATGTTTCGAGGTTTTACAATCAGAATGACAAACCCTTACTACTATGATGGAGGGTATAAATAAAACCATAGATTTTTCTTGACAATTTTGTGAAACATGCCGTTAGCCTTGCCAGTATATTTATAAAATGGCAGAAATATTCAAATCAAACTGTTTCACTAATAATATCAAAATGTAGATGGCTCTGTCGTTAGCTGTAAATACGACAGCTTCGTGTGGAAACGAAAATATAGACACAGTTTTTGTCTGTGCTGGCCTATTGTGAATGAAATGTTCAACTCTATTAAAGACATGAATCAGCATGCACTCAGAGCCATCTAGACTTGAATTCATGCAACGAGTTATAAATGCTTTAACCCCGCGTTGATGAAATGCAATGAACTCAGCATTAACAGTAAATATATAAGTCATACCCTAGGACTGACGGCGGCCCTAATTTATATTAAATCACGAATTGGAACTGAATTTAATCTGTTTTACGCAAATTTCATATGGCAGCACTTCCGAAAATCAATCAGCTGTAGGTATATTGTTTATGTTTGGGAAAATCAAAAAGGATAGCAGATAGACAACAAAACGAGATATGTAAGTATTTTCATTGGTTTTACGTAAACAAACAAATTAACAAATAACCGTCGGTTTTGCCGACAGATGTATATCCCCTCAGCTACTGTCAGTTTATTTACATATATTTTGACATCCATTGCGATTATTTAAAATGTTTAACCTTTGGTCCGATAAATATTACAACGTGCCTCATTGGGACTATATCGATTACCTCCTTCCATTTATATGAGATATTTTTTAGAAAATATTAAAATGTGCGTGAGTTACCAGATATAATCGACAAAAGTATAGGGTGGGATGGAAAAACTGCAACCAACTTCAGACTGCTGTCATTTCTAAGCGACAGCTGTTAAAATTATTTCAGTGACAGCTCATTATATTGTTTATAAGCGTACAAAAGCATTTTGGTGAGAATTTTCCAGAAAAAACAATTATTCGTGATGGAATTCAAGCGTGATAGTGTGATTTCTTTATATTTGGCCGGAAAACCACTAGTGGCTATCGTTAGAGCACTCCAGCATTTAAATGTAAATAAATCCTTTGTGTCTAGTACCATCGCTCGTTACCATGATACTGGTAGCGTAGCCCGAGGTCAAGGAAGGAAATGGACGGAATAAAACAGCAACATCAGCAGAAACGGAAGCGACTTGCTCGAAACCCGCGTCGCAGTGGATGAAAAATGGCTCGTTACCTGAATATATCACAATATTCCATTCGGCAAATATTGAAAAATGAGCTCGGGGTAAAGCCATTGGAATTCCAAAAAGTGTATATGGGGGCTTTACGAAAATATAGATAGACATGGCCCTTGTATAAACCTATTGGCAAAAAAACACAAGTGTGCAAAATTTTAGCCTTTTATCTCATTCGGTTCGAAAGATAGCGTGATGACAACCTCCAGGGTATGGTGGAAGTTATAAAAATTGATGCAGAAACAATGTAATATTTTAATATAAATAATATATTTACATAAAAATAAACATACATCCAATTTGCAGGGAAAAGGAACTGGATCCTTCTGGCGGGAGCCCATCCAAATGGAGATACTACAACGCTGTCCACCGAAAAATCGGTTGTAATGCACCGAACAGTGCAAAAGTGCTTGAGTCATTTCTAATTTCAATTTCTAAGTACATATTGATTTCTGTAAAAAAAAATTTGCTTATTCATTTATTAACATTTTTTTTCCAAATTGAAGGAAAAGAAACAATTTAGAATAAGTAAGAAGAAGAATTTAATATTGATTGGTGAAACTCAACGCTATTGCGTTCCTAATAAGCGATGCAGATATGTCATGGGCTCCAATTCTTGTTGTATGATAGGATATGGTTGTTGTATGGTATCGATAGATATGTATTCCATCCATGCAGGAGAAACTTCGTCGTTATCAATTAAAAAAGGTCTGCAGTACACAACATTTTTTTTCTGATTATGTTAAAATATTCCTCCGAAACTAGCTTTTAGTTGGCAAATGCATTTTCAATCACACTACGGCATCGAGACAGATGGTTGATTAATTGAATATGGAAACGGATTCTTCATATGTCGGGATGAGCGAAATCCAGAATCACCAATCAGCAACGCCGGCACATTAATGCCGGAAATAATTTTACTACTTTAGTTAAATATATCAGCGTTTTCATGAGCTTTTTTAAGAACTCCGTTCAAAAATGTACGAGTAATGTGTGTTTCTTTGTCCGCTTGATCCAATGTTTATATAAATGTAAATTGTGGTCTCCGAAATATTGAATATAGTATTAATGAGTAAACTTATAGATAAAATAAATAAAAGAGTAAACTTTAAAATAAAATTTACCTGTAGTCACAACTTGCCAAAAAAATAACTGCATACCAGCCTTTTTGGCTGAATTTCTATATGATATTCATCTGGAGCACCAAAACATTGCGGAAATCCACGACGATGGAAACTATCTACAATTCGTTTAACTTCTTCGATTTTGGAGAAAAGGAATCAATGCATTGTGATAAGTTCTTGCATATTTCGTTGCAAAAATTTAAAACGATTTCACCAACGGAAAAAAATCCCAGCAGTCCTATTTTCCGCAGCCGATCCCAATACAAATAATGCGATTGCTACTCTATTTTGCAGTGGGATACATCGCTTCAATTTTTTGGTGCTCACCCTCTTCATTTTTTTAACTTTTTAGAAAACATTGTTATTGAGACGAAAATTTCATTAAATCAATCATCCATCTTAGGTACATCAAATTCCCAAAAATCCGATCCGATCTAATCCTATAAATAAATGCATATTGTATATAGTTATTATTCAAATTTAAAATAGAATCATACTAACAAATGTCCACAATTGTCTATTTCTTATTTCAGAGAGTTCCATTGATATTTCAAGTTATACCAAAATGTTCATATTCGTGTTTTTAAGTTATGAAGCAGTTTCAGCAATAGTGATTTCAGTTTATTTTGTAAGAGGTTGTTGTTTTCCCACATAGCATAGTTCGTAATCTTATGTTCTGTCTTCTATGCATATTTTAAATATTGTAATCTAAATATGATAGTTTTTCTAGCAATAGCTAACAGTTAATTACACGCTATCAGCTGTTTCGTAAATGCAAATACTGTCATGACATTACTATTACATTAACAAAGGACAGTTCACAAAACACAAAAGTTGTGTGCCAGGACTAAAAAGTTTCTACTACTTTTGACCAAAAAGCCATTGCCGTACTCCAAATGTTTAATTATCTTTAAACAAATACGGCACTCTTTCTCTTTAGAAATAAGTTTAGCGAGTAAAAGTGGAAATCTGTCAAAATAGCGAATTTGAAATTTCATTCAATTCAATTCCACGTGGTATTTGATGTTTCTAATGAAACCAAATGCACAATTTTTGCTCTGTTCCAGAACCTGCAAGAATCTACGATTTTTGCATTTTTTTTTTCGATTTCATAAAGGAAAAATCAGTTATCGTAGTAAAAACTTTTACATTTTTGCAGCTCTGGAACAGGCCGTTTGTTATATTTTTGTAGTAGACAGCATTTTTAATGGGAATTGAAATCTTTCAACTTGGTAGAAGAATACAGGTAGATACATTAACGTTTGGGAACATAGATATGTCAACATTTTAATTTTTTTTTTTTTTTCAAAAATAATTAGATATTTATATGTTTTCTTATACGATGTCCATCGATGGTTCTTATTATATGCATTTCTCAATAATTTTAACGAATTTGAATAGTTTTTCATTCACAATTTTTAGTTTTAAGTTTGGTTTGACAGTTCATTGTCCCAGTAGCTGTGTCGATGCGACTAACTGAATTCTTCTACCATGGTAGCTTTATTAT